TCATCCTCAAGCCTATCCCCTCCAGGAGAATACCCACTCTCCCAACTACCCCTTATTGCCACTAGACCCCAAAATAGAATCAGCCCTCTGCATATAATCGGGAGGAGTCATTTTCACCTAGTCTGTTTATCTAAGGAAGAAGATGATTGAATTTTGAAGAATTAGCATGGATTGTCCTAAGTTTTATTAGGTGGTAACTCCAGTGTAGTTGCTGTTCCAAAACTGGTATTTATACTGAAGCAAATTATAAACCAGTGGTATCTGGTATACAGCTGTTGACCTAATGAATGCTTTTGTCACTTACCAATTTGTAAGGATCACGGGGAGGAAATGTTTCTTTTTACTTTTAAGAGTCATGGTTAACTTCTCAGAAGTACATCAACTCTCAGTCTACTGATACAAAGTGATTTATAGGGATCTGATCATCTCAAAGGAGATACTGGGACTCCAGCTCCCTCCTCTTCCTCTCTTTTACCTCCCAGCCATGAGGTGAGTGGTTTTGCTCTACCATGGGTTGCTGCCATAGACCTAAAGTAACAGGAACAACCAATCATGGACTAACAACGCTAGAAATATGAGCCAAAATAACCATTTTCTAAGTTGATACTCTTAGGAATATGTTTTAGTAATGGAAAGCTTAATAACACAAAATAATAGTCCATTGTATTAGTTATGCTAACAAGAACATGCCATTCCTTAATGAAACTTATGAATCAGAGACTGGGAGATAAGTACTATGAATGTTCAGGCCCCATCACCTCAGTAAACTTTCATATGATACTAAATCCTACCTAGTCGTATAGCTAGTAATTGTAGTACTTGCTATTTTATATTGTTGCTATAGAATGAAGTATTCTTTCATTCTCTTTTGAAGTGATTTGTTTTCTAGAGTCTCCTAAATAAGAAAATACCTTCTTTCTGATTTAAATATGAGCTAGTACTTTATTGTCAACAGAATTATAATTTTATTTTCTAGATTATCAGATGATAATGCAGATTCAGCTATGTAAATTCTGAGCTCAGGAACTGTCACTCAAAACAGCAATTAATAGAGTTTTTTATAATGCCAGATTTTATTCTTAAAATGGTAAAATAAGATTGCATACATACTTTATAACTAATAAAAGAGATTAGCTAAAAAATTTAAAAAAAAATAGGTTACATTTTAAAAACAAATGTCTTCATGTAAGCCTGTATTTGCTAAGCTTTTATAAAAACATTTTTATAAAAAGAGAAAGCATAACATAGTGGTAATATAGTCTCAAAGTCAATAAACTATCATGTCAAAATTATTTAAATCTGTAGGCCTGATCTAAACACGAACTGTGTATAATTCCTTCCTTTCTTCTTTCCTTGTGTGTGTGTGTGTGTGTGTGTGTGTGTGTGTGTGTGTGTGTGTGTTTCTGGTGCTAGGGAATCAACCCAGTGCTAGGCAAGCTCTCTATCATTGAGCTACATTCCCAGTCCATGTATGATTTCTAAGCTTGTTTGGCTTTAAGATTCTAAGGCAAAATAAAACCAAAATCATAATTATTTATTAGGCATATGATATGTACTAAGCACTCTGAGAAGCATTCTGTGAAACACAACGTTGGAGAAGTTATGGTTTTCATATTCTGAGAGCTTTCGAAACAGATCGCAAAATAAGTTATCAAAAAGTTAAAAGTTACATAACTATAAATAACCACATTAGAAAGAACATTACCATGTAGTGAAATGACTTGCCAAAGGAATTGAGTAGTAATGTGAAAGAAGCTGAGTAAATCAGCAAACTGCAGAGGAAACGGACTTTGAGCTGGATCCTCAGAAAGGAAAAGGTAAGGAAAAGAGGCAGAGGGTACTCTACAGAGGAGGAATGAAAAGGACAATTTTTAACCCTGTTTTACAGAGAGGAGTTTGCAGCTCAGAATAATAAACTTTGTATGATTCTAGGTCTATATGCTTGAAATGTCAAGCCATGTTCCAAACAACTTCCAAGATTCAAGTGTTCTCAAGTCTACAATAAGCGGTCCAGAGACGTCCAGGGCAATAAGTTTTACATTCATATCATAGCACATGAGTTGATTGCAATGTACATGGAAGAACTGGAATTTTCTAAATAATTTCTTTTGGCAAGGGCATCCACTTTTTAAGTTCCCTAAGCTCAAGTTTCAACCACTGTGTTTTAACTTTTGTAAGAAAAGAAAGTACGATGTCATGGGACTGATCCAAATTCAGGACTGGAAGTCCAGATCCACCTGGATCATATGACCTCCAACCTCCTCAGCACTAAAATCCTAAAATCCTATGGCAATGTAAAATCTTTGCTAGGCCATAAAAGAACAGTTAAGCAGAACCCTATGCTTCCAACTCTAATACTAACACTGCATTTAGGTTAAATTCTCTCCGAAAACTAATTAAAATCACTGACTCTTTTAGGGCAACTTGATCTGCATGTCTGACTCATTTTCTTGTAGTGGTGGAAATGGGAAGAAACACAAAGGAACATAGTTCTGAGTCCATCTGGCCCCATCTGTATGCAAATCACCAAATGGAATGCAGAACACTTAACACAAATAATGGCAGAGTTATTAAAGAAGTAATTTCCTTTTCCTGACACCATTTTCATGAACCTTGTCAAAACAGTCTCTTGCAAGTTATTTAAGGCCTAAGAGGCTTCTCCAGGGAAATAGGCTCCCATATTAACACAAAGCCCTTCAAGTTCTGAGCAGAGAAGTGCTAAGGGAGAATCTCCCGTGGAAAGGATGATTGTACAAGTAATCTTTACTCACCTCTGAAATGCCACCACCTCTTTAGGATTTCCTCACTGTGGTTTCATCCATTACCATGGCTATGCCAAGACACCCCATTCCCCTTCTTAAATTCTGGACCAGATTTCAGTTATTTTTCTTTGTGTTCTTTGGAGCACATTACACTGCTATCTAGAAAACAGTTCTGTGTCACAAGCAAACGGAACAGAAATCAAAAGGGATGATCCAAAGCACAGCCCACTATGCAATGTGTGCGTTACCTCTCCTGAAATAGTATTTCATTCGTGTAGTCATCACCATGCCTACCCCACTCCACGCCTGTTTGAAGCACAAAAATCCCTCTTTCCCCCAGGCTCACTCTTCTATTTTCTTCTTTTCCACCTTCCCAAAGAGGAAGTGTGGGCAGGGAGTGTTAGTCAGACTTTTAGAGGAAATGAGTGGCTAGATGTGATGCTCAGTGTGACTTTCATAGTCTAGTAAGAGCGCCTCACCAGTAATGAAGACAGCTGCCTCAGTTTCCACTCCTGCCTGCTCCCCAACAGTTGGAGCTGTTTCCTCACAGGTCTGTCTTTGCATTCACACACAATTTAAAAATCTTCAGAAAATAATTCCACAAATATGCAAAGTAACTTGTAAATTCTTAAGGATTTTAAAAACTGGGGAACACGCTCCCCTCCCTTACATATTACACCAGAAGGCAAGTAAAGAGCCCCCAGGCCCCCTTCAGCTCCCTCCTGCTTTATGAGTCACCACTGTCACACGGCACAGATGTAGCCAAAGGTGCAAGTTTCTCTTAAATTTGAGACTAAAACATTCATCATAGTTACAAATCCTCGCTCCAATCTGATGCTGGCTATGACATGCGACATTAATCTCCTCTTCCCTCTGGGCTTGCCTAAGATCAAAAAAAATACTCTTGGCTGTAAATGGCTCTCACTGTTGATGCATCCTGAAACTGTCTGTGTGCATCAGGAAAGAAGGAAACATCACTTGCTTCCAAGAAAAAAAAAAAAAAAGAGCATGCTTTTCATGCTCCAGGGCCTTACTCCTGAGAATCAAGTTGGAAAACACCACTTCAAAAGGCACATTCAAAGGGAACAATCTGTGAAGAAAAAATAGCTGCTAGAAACAAGTAAACAATTTTATACTTTGGAGCTGAAAAAACAAGACAAAGTACTTTTCAAAGGAACAAAATATAAGGAACTCAGGAAAATTGGAGGCAGTTTATGTACCTGATTTGTTGATAGGCTTCTCCTAAGAGGGGACTAAGGCATTTATTTATTTATTTATTTATTTATTTATTTATTTATTTATTTATTTTCATGTTGCCTTGTCCATTATATCAGAAGCAGGGTTTGGGATTCTTCCTTTATCATGTACCTATAGGTTCTTTATTGCAAACAAGTTCCCACTGCCTATAGAATAACGATCAAACACTGTGGCATAGCTTGCAAAGTTTTCTGTGATCTGGCGGGAGCCCGCCTTTCTGGCCATATCTCCCACATCATCCCACGTGTACCCCTTATTCCAGCAATACCAATATTAGCAATTTCTCACATTTGCCACATTCTCCCAGGTCTCTACTAACATATCCTTTGCTGTTTTTAGAATGCTCCCTCTCCCACCCCACTGTCTAGCTAATTTCTATTTCTCCTCCAAAAGTCAATGTGTGTCATCTTTTGAAGTCTTCTCTGATTCACAAAGGATAAAGCAGGCCCTTCTCTCTTCTTAATGTTTTCTGTATTATGTTAATGCACACACTTGGTAATTTAGGTCAGAAAGTCTCCTAGTGGCACAGTAATTGTAATCCATTATCTTCAAATGGATTATCCCTGAATGGACTAAATGGACAGAATTTATAGAAGGATTTTTAAAAACTCAATCCACAATAGGTGTTTGGTAGATACGAATATCCAACACTCGCTTTATAAAAATACATAATAGCAAAGCATTAAAAAATTATTTTTTGTACATTTTAGATGGTACTAAGGTTTATATTCTTCCATATGTTTTTGAAGCAATTCATCTTATTCATTTATAATCACTGATTTATAATTACATAGAGACTTCATACCCTTGGAAACAATATTTCCTAGCTTAAATTTTTTATAGCTTATGGAAAATAAAAGCCAACATTTAAATGAATCCAGTGGTGAATCAAATTTATGGAAGCAATCATAATCATGTATATATTACACTACTTGTATATTGTGCTCTTTTAAATAGGCACATCTTGCACTACAAATTACAACTGGATAGATATCATCACAATAGCTGCTTGGAATGACTGGAGTGGCATTAAAATGCACAGCCTTCCTGTCTTGAGCATGCTTTCAGCAGAGGTCTAGAGGATGAGGCCACATGCTCTTTTATGCAGGTGAGTAATAAATACTGCAGAACAGTGTGTTTGCAATCACCTGCAGGAAAACGCAAGTGACTTGTGTGTAGCAGTGAATTCTGCTTTGCTAAAGTAAGAAATACAAAGAGTTTTGTTTATTTCTCTATATAATTTCTATTTTATACTGAACTATAGGTAATATACTTCTACTATAAAGTAGAAATTGTAAAGCACTAGGTAGTAGGAGAGGAATACAAATTGGGAGTCTGGTTAATACTATGTGGACTTGGGGTTGAAGGGTGAGGAGGGGGCAAAGATCCTGGATAATAAGTGAAGAAATACTTGGAATCAAAGTGAAGCTGCATTTGATTGAATTGAGCAATTGGGAGAGAATCACTATGGCATCTAAGAAGGAAATGGATATGATAAAACCAAAGATAATTGTTCTAATTACAAGAAGGATGAGACAGGTTTGCAAGAGATTATTTTGTCATAAAACCACATTTGGGGAGGAGGGAAGAAGAAAAAGATCCAAGAAACATTGTCATAAGGAAAAACTCAAAAATAATTCCAGGGTAACATTCAAGAGACTCAGAAGTCTAGGTGCCAGCAATGATGAATAGGGAAGTTTCTTTTCTGGTTTTTATTACATAAAAATCATAAGAAGAAAAGAAGTGTGATTTCTGTTATAAGAATTGGTAGAAATAATCACACAAAAATAGAAAACCTAGAAAGAACCCATAGTATATGTAAAATTTCAGGGTCTAATTAAGTGGTATTTCAAATCAATGGACAAAAATTAATTATTCAGAAAGTGATGCTGGAATAATGGTTAATATTTAAAAAATCTTTCCCTCTTTCTTCCACAGTGAACTCCATATGTATTAAAAAGTCATATATAAAACACACACACACACACACACACACACACACACACACAAAGAGAGAGGAGGGAATAGGAAAATGTAGGTGAAATTATTTCTGTCTTAAAAGAGAGAAAACAAAACTGACAAACTTTGAGCTAGATTGACCAAAAAGAGAGAACACTCAAATTACTAAAATAAGATATAAAAGAGGCTGCATCACTGTCAACCTTACAGAATAAAAAGAATGACAAATGAATAAAGAAAATATGGTATATATACACAATGAAATATTACTCAGACATAAAAATAAAATGACTTTATGACTTTTTTCCAGTAAATGAATAGATCTGGGAACTATCATGCTAAGTGAAATAAGCCAATCCCAAAAAAACCAAAGGTCAAACATTCTCTCTGATATATGGATATTAGCACATAACAAATGGTGAAGGGTGGGGAAGAACAGAAGTTTATCGGATTAGACAAAGGGATATGAAGGGAAGGGAAGAGGGACCAGAATAGGAAAGAGTAGAATGAATCTGACATAATTTTTCTGTGTACATATATAAATACTCCACAGTAAAGCTCCATATCATGTACAACCACAATATTGGGATCCTAATTAGAATATGATATATTCCATGTTTGTGTAAATATGTCAAAATATACTCTACTGTCACATACAACTAAAAAGAATAAAATAATTTAAATTTTTTTCAAAAAATTCAAAAAGTAATAGAAAATAAAGGAGAATTTTCCATATTTGAATAATACTGGTTTTTCAAAGTAAAAGGATACTGTTGATAAATAAAAATTATTTAATTAAAGTTTATACAACTGTCAAAATGGACTCAAGAAAAAATAGACAATCTGAATAGCCCTATAGCTAGCTAATGAAGTGGTTAAATTAGTAATCAAAACTCACAAAAATATCCAAACCCAGATGACTTCACTGCTGAATTCTTTTTAATCCAACGGGAATTTGCTTTGTCAGATGTGAGGTAGAAATATCACTTATTATTTTAAAAGAGTTAACAGTTGCTCCATAACCACTTGTAAAGCAACATGAATATTAATTCTTCACAAATGCCTAGAATTCACAAGCCCCTCTAAAACGTGGAAGAGGGAACACTTCCATTCTATATGATCAATATTACCCTGATGCCAAGACCAAGTAAACACATTACAAGTCAAGAAAACCACAGACCAATATCTTCTATGATTTTAGCAAACGTCCTTAAAAAAAAAAAGTAACAAACTGAATCTAGCAACATATAAAAAGAATTATACACCATGACCAAGTAGAATTTATCCTAGGCATACAAGATTAGTTTAACACCCCCAAATCAATTAATACTCCTCCTCAACAGAATAAAAATTTCAAAACACTCAGCTATCTTAGTAGAAGTAAAAAAAGCATTTGATAAAATCCAACACCCTTCTATGACATAAACACTCAACTGCAAATAGAAGAAAACATCCACAAACTGAAAGAGGGTAGACAATAAAACTCCACAGCTAACATCATACTAATGGTGAAAGAGATTGCTTTCCCCATAGGATTAGAAGCAAGTTAAGGACATTTGCTCTTATCACTTCTGTTCAACACCATATTAGAGTTTCTAGACAGGGAAATTAGGCAAGAAAAAGAAATTAAAATTATCCTTATTGAAAAGGAAGAAATAAAACTATTTCTATTCACAGATGACATGATATATAGAAAGTCCTAAGGAATCCACTGGAAAGAAAAGGAAAAAAAAACCTATTTATTAGAACTAATGAATTAGTACAGCAAGGTTGCAAGATACAAGATCAATATATAAAAATTACTTACTTTTCTATACACTTATAATGAATAATCTAAAATGAAATTTAAGCATAATCCTATTTACAATAACACTAATAATAAAAAATAAAATTCTACATAAATTTAACAAAAGACATACAAAACTTAGAGTCCAAAAAGAAAAATATTATCAAAAGAAATTAAAGATGATCTAAAAGAATGAAAAATCATTCCATGTTCATGAATTAGAAGCTTAATATTGCTAATATGGCAAAGCTTCCCAAAGAGATCTAGAGATTCAATGTAATCTTTATTAGAATTTTGGATGATAACTTCATAGAAATTGACAAACTGATTCTAAAATGTATACAGATTTTCAAGGGACACCATCATGAAGAACAAAATAGGAAGACTCATATTTCCCAATTCCAAAACTTGGTACAAAGCTACAATAATCAAAGTACAGTACTGGCAAAAATTAAAAAGGCATAAAAATAGACATGTACATCAATGGAACAGAATTCAGAGTCCAGAAATAAATTCATGTGTCTATGGTCTATGGTCAACTGATCTTCAGTAAAGGTGCCAAGATCATTTGATGGGAGAATAACCTTTTAAACTAATGGTGCTAGAACGATTGAATAGCCACATGCAAGAGAATGAAATTGAACCTTTACCTCATTCCTCTTAACTCACCTCCAAAATTAACTTTAAGCAGATCCAAAGAACAAACTGAAAAGTTAAAATTATAAAACTATGTGCAATAAAACCTAGTAAATCTTCTTGGTCTTGGGGTTGGCAGTGGTTTCTTAGATGTAACACCAAATTCACATGCAATAAAAGAAAAATAGATAAATTGCATTTTATTAAAATTAAAAACTTATGTCCATCTATCTGTATCTATAAAGTGAAAAAAAAGAGTGGAAGAAACGTTTGCAAGAAATAGATCTCATAAGGGTTTAATATCTACAACATATGAAGAGCTCTTACAAGTCAATCACAAAGGAAACCAGACTTAAAAAGTGGACTCTTTAAGAAATCTGGAAAAATATTTGTGAGTTTGAACAATGTGGGCAAAGTCAGTCTTTTTCACATGCTCAAAGATGACAGATTTACCCAACATATTCTAGCACTACATCTGACATCAGAAGAGCTGATAATAGTGAAATGATATTTATAACTTTTGATCTTATGGTCATAAGCATGTATGTCGGACGTGGAAAAAATTATCTTCCAGCAATTCATGGGATTGTCTTTCTGATGGGCTGTGCATATCATTTCCACCCAATGGAATCTAAAGTTGAGATTAATGTTTTAATGAATGACGAAACAATATACAATATAATAATATGTATCTTCAGTAACAATATCAGCAGAAAAGATACAATCTATAAAAAAGAAAAAAAAACCTATATGAGCTATTTGGGCTTTGTGAACAGAACAAGGGAAAGGGGAAGATAACAAACATAACTTTGAAAAATTGAATGTCCACCCCAATTGCTCCTGAAGCAAGGCTCCAGCAGGGGTTTTTGTAGGCTCTTTCAGCAAATATTTGGACAGTGGACTTAAAGAGTTTTCTTTTCTGAAAATAAAACAAAGAATTGCCACACAACCCAGGGCTTCCACTTGTACATATATAACCAAAATTGAAAACAGGTAATCAAAGTGGGACATATACACAAATGTTCATAACAGGACTATTCACATTTGCCAAAACGTGGAGACAATTCAAATTTACAGCAACAGATGAGTAGATAAACAAAATTTGGTGTATCAAATTTTTAAAATATTTTGCCACTTTTATTGTATTTTATCTTTGCAACCATAATATTATTTGGCCATAAAAAGGAATCAGATAGTTTTAAATAATTCAATGTAGATCATTTAACCCTAAAAATATTATGCTAGGTGAAAGAAGCTAATCACACAAAAAAACAAATAAACATGATTCCACTCACATGAAGTGAATAAGTCAATCGACATAGATAGAAAGTGGGGTGGTGATTGCTTTGAGCTAAAATGAAATCTTTGTAATGGTTATGCTGTTCAATATTTACTTAGTATGTGTGTTCAAAATAGAATCTAGGCTTATTCCTAGCTTTGGCCATTTGAATTAAAAATCATCCAATACCGGTGATATAAAAATTCGTCAGAATTTCAAATAGTTTTAAAAAGAAAAGTAAGGTCTATTGAAACAGTTCTTCACTATGGAAATGAACAGGATTTTCTTTGGAATGCTAATGTGGCTTTTATTCATTGTAGGAACGTGGAAGACATACTTGGAGCTCTATGTTTAAGTGATAAGACGGCTTAACATTTCCTGCTGTAATCAGTAAATACTATAGATCTGCACACTGCATTGGACTCTCACCCTTCATCTCCATCTCATTTTGCATTTTGTCTCGACTTTTCCCAAACAATAAAACAAACAAATGAACAAAAGTGAAATAGCATATAATCGGCTCTCCGTTTCCTCGGTGCTCTGGTGACATATATTCCAGCACAGCAACAGAAAAACTAATTTGAAAAACTGAGAGGCTTAGTATTTAAAAGCCAATCTGTGGTCAGGCGTGGTGCCACACACCTGTAATCCCAGTGACTCTGGAGGCTGAAGGGGAAGGATCACAAGTTCAAGGCCAGTTCGGCAATTTAGTGAGACCCTGACTCAAAACAACAACAACAACAAAGCTGGGGATATAGCTCAGTGGTAAAGCACCCCTGGGTTCAATCCCCAGTACTGGGGGAAAAAAAAAAAAAACAAGTCAATCTATGACTTACCTAAAAAACAATGGTTTGAAAAGGAGAAATGCTTTTTAAAAAAATCTATAAATAGACATATTTACAACTTCTGTGTACATCAGGATTCCTTCATAAGGTATTCAGAAACATTTCCCAAATGTGCTTTGCTAAACAAACCTAAAGTAACAATAAGCCTTTCACTCCTCCCTTAGACACAAATTTTCAAACATTAAAAGAGAATCAAGTACAATAACGTTAGGCTGTTCAAGGTTGGCCTGGCAGAGTGCATCTGCAGTAGTTAGTATTTACAGCACGTGTGCATTCTCCCACCTAGTAAACACCTCGACCTGAGTCCCTACCTGCTGCAGTCCGGCTGCAGCAGAATAACCGGGGGGTGACGAATAACTTCTGTAGATTGATACAGCAGGAATGGAAGCTGTTTATTGTAGGACAACAGAGCTATTTATCCATTTTGCACAGCTTATCTTAATTAGCATAAACTAGATACATCAGTCAACCAATAAGGAATCTCCACACTTAATGGCTCGCTTTTGTTATTTCTCAAACCACTCCCTCTGGCATTTTGCCAGGCACCATCCAGACTTGTTTACGAACTCTACATTCCCCTGGCAAAATACCAGGTGTTATTTTGACTTGTCTACAGACCTTAACATACACCTAGTAAACACCTCGACCTGAGTCCCTACCAACACTGGACTCCATGTAGTGTAATATAGTTTTTTAAGTGCTATCTTGACTCCGTTTTGAGGTCCTAGCTAGATTTAGTCAGCTCCCCTTCTTGAAATACTGATGAAGTCCACAGCCCCATCCACTTCTCCACATGCTGGGCCCCTGTACACCAACCCTAATCAACCCAGGGCCAGGTACCAGACAACCATGGCCAGCCCCTGAGGTCCTGCAGCCCACTGAAATTATTCAGTCTAATCAGTCCTAAAGTGCCTTGCCGTCTCTCATGCTTTCAGTCCTATAAAAACCACAGTAAAGAGGCTTGTCTACAGTTGTCCCCTCACCCTCTGTCCCACAACTAATGTGGTACTTCTCCCAAATGGCCCTGTGTGCCATGCAATGTTCTCCCCAGGAATTGGTAGGAACAAAAGTGTAAAACTCTACTCAGTTTCTCCTTCTTAATATACTCTGGCCTCAACACACTTCACCCAATACCATATGGTTAAAATAGGAAGGAAGAAAGAAAGGAAAGAAGGGAGAGAGGAAACTATTTTAATTGACTCTCACAAAAGCATGTTTCTTTTTACTAAAATTCAACTCAAGTCCACAATATTTGTGTAGAGCATAAGCTCTTTACTCCTTAAGAGAGAGGAATAAAATGTAGCTGCAGTGTACAAACATGATAAGTTGTAACTGCTAATACTTGAGCTCTGAGCAAGTCAGGCCAAGTGCATATATCCTGGTATATTGTTTCATTATATTTCTCTAAAAGTTCAGTGAGGTGTAACTACTATTATGTCTATATTAAAGAGAGGACTCTGAGGGACAGAGAAACTTTAAAAAATTTCTCTTAAATCACAGAATTGGCAAATGGTAGAACTGGGATTTGAACCCAGATTTATCTAACAGAACCTAAGCTGAAAACCAATAAGCTCCTCCCCATACACTTTTTTTTTAATCCAGGAAACTTCACCCCTAAGCTACATCCCCAGCCCTTTTTATTTATTTATTTATTTTATTTTGCGTTTTTTGCTAGATCGTCAATACTGGCCTTGAACTTGAAATCCTGTCTCAGCCTCCTGATTCAATGGGATTACAGGTGTGCACTTCTGCACCTGGCAGCCAATAAGCTTTTAAGCAATACAACCTCCAAGTAGCTGCTCATCCAGCAAATATTTATTAAGCACCTATTACATGGCAGGCATCTTATTATGCAGTAGAGAGCAAGGCACCACATGGTTGTTTGTCCACAAGGCTCACTTTCTCATGAGGAAGTAGCTATTTATCTGTAAATACCAGATAGCTTGGTAGGTATTAGATGGAACCTTATCCAGAGCAATACACAGTACAACTATACTTTATTAGACCTCAATTCATAGGGTATAAACAAACAAAAGAAGTTTCTACCACTACTACCTTTTGCACTCTCCCTCCATCCCCACATGTATACTCCATTAAGCTCACTTGGTGCTTGTTCATCCTCTGCCCAAACACAGAATCTCAAGAAGATCCCATAACTTTTTTCTAGCTACTCTCAAATTCTAAAAAGTCCTTGGGTCACTTCGCCAAAAAAAAAAAAAAAATTGCTCTTTCAGTAACTGAATGGCATGGTACAGTGGAATAATCAAACTTTGCACATCCTTCAAATTTAAAACTCCCCCTTGTTCAAGTATGTTCTCAGCCTTGCCCCTCTAGCTCCTCTTTCTGACCACTTGGGGGAATAGGCAATAAGGGCTTGGTGGATATTTACACTCACAAGAGATTCAAAATCCTGCATGGAAAAAACCTCTCAATGCATGACCCAGAACAGAGATGATACCCTTTAACCCTGCCAGCCTCTTCCAAACCCAACCTCAACCCCAACACCCCCACAAACTATTTTCTTGGGATGCTGCTGATACCACCCCCCAGCCACTCTGGGCTTACTGTAAGTCTGTTTCCCTCTTGGCCTGGCCCTCAGAGGAAATAACATCACCCTGCCATTGGAAGAAGTGAGGAGTTTTCCCCAACATAGCCCAATGGCTTTTACCACTTAGAGCTCTCACATGTGAGGAAAACACCAGTCCCCTGGGTCTCTGAATTCTCTGTGTCTAGTTCTGCCCCCGACAGGCTTGAGGTCAGTACACTGCAGGCACTTACTCCTCCATGGTGGGGAAGTGCAGTGGAATATCTCAGAACCTCAGCAACATGTCTTCTTCCATCTCTGTATCTCATACCTGGGTTGATGATGATGTTTTTGGCACGTCTAACACCTCACTTTGGAATAGGGGGCATGCCTGGAAAAATGCTTTGTTCTTAGCCTTTGAGGTCTTAGCCAAAACCAAGACAGAGTTTCATTTCACATTCTGTTTCAGAGACATTTTAAAAGGTGCTCAAGAGAATGAATAACACATCACCCAACAATTGCCTCTATACATTTGCTAATATTTTCCATTAGGGAAAATGGATTTGTCTTCTAATTTTGACTCTGCCTCTAGAAATGTTTTGTGAACCTGATTAAATCATTAGCCTTCGGAGTCTTGTTCCAAAATTATAATTGTTTAAAGATGTTGAATAGACTCTCCAAGAAAATATGATCCTGTTACTTGAGGCTCACATCATCAGTCTTTTTAACATAGAATGTGAGCAGAAAACTAAAAATTAAAGGACCCTGGTCCCTATTAACAGACTTGAATGAAGTGAACACTTCCCGATTTATGAATACCCTGTTTCCCTGTCTTCTCCTGCCTGCAGGCACACTCCTTCTCAAGACAACCTCCCTATTGGCTGCTCCCTCGCTCTAGGACAGTACAGAGATTCACTGCCACATCTGCATTGGGCCCATCTCATTCAAGATCCCGCAGCACCCAAAGCATAGACATAATGCCAAATGGTGCTAACTGGGCTGTGTTCCAAAACATATTGTATACAGTATTTCTTCATTTACTCTACTAAATTTTGAAGAAAAATTTCCCATGTTTTATATAGCATACTTATTGCCACATTTTTTATTTAAATTATATAATTTTTCCTCTCTTCCCTTACATTACAGTTTCTATAACCATAAAGTATACAGTTAGTTGATGTGATTTTTAAGAAATTTGCTAGGAAGATTAATTTTAAAAACAATCAAGTGTTTGTCTCCAGGCAGATATTCTGTGTCCCCAATACTTCTCAAAAGGTTTTGATAACACCCAAAGTTATGTGAAAATATTTTTGAAATGGTGCCTCAAATTTAAGTTCTTTTTGCTTTTCATGTACCAACCAAGAATGGAAAAGTCTTCATGAAAAACTGATAATAAATCTGGAAAGCAAATCTTTAGCACCTGGTCTTTTATTCTATGTTGATACCTCATTATCTCATTTGAAGCACTGCTATTTATGAGTTCACACAGCTGAGGACTCTGTAGGTGCTGGATCAGTATTATCCCTGATGCTGTGAACTGGATGTGTCTTCCATCCCACCCCATGCCACCCCACATGAAGTCATATGTTGAAGGCCTAACTCTTAGTGTAGCTGTTTTGGAGTAAGAAAGCAATTAAGGTCAAATAAGAGTAGGTGCCTGATCTGATAGTATTAGTGTCTTTATAAAAGTGACACCCTAAAGCTTCCTCTCTTTCTCCATGCACACACGCTAGGGAAAGGCCATATGAGGACAGAGCAATAAGGAAGCCACCTGTGAGACAAGAAGGCAGCTCTCACCATAAACTGAATTGGCAGGAAATTTGATGTTGGATTTCTGGCCTCCAGAACTGTGAGAAAATAAATTTGTTGTTTAAATCATCTAGTCTGTTGTACTTTGTTATGACAGCTACAGCCAACCCCATAATTGATCTAGAGAGGGTAAAAATGAAAAGGCATTTTCCTCCTTTCTCCAACTGAGACCTCAGAAATTCCCAAATGCTCATAACCATGTTAATCTCACTTTTGCATCCTGTTTATACATATAGTTCTATTCATTCTTCATAATCTCATAATCTTTTAGTCAGAGCTAACATTAATAATACCATTTTGCAGCTGAGATAGAAGGTAGCTAAGCCAAAATTT